GCAGAAAAAAATGGCCTGGCTTCAGTTGAGCCTGGCTAGCTTCGATCTGGCTGACTATGATGGACACGAGCTTGAACTCCTGCAGGGGAGGCCATTGAAACCACCACCATCGAGCCTGTCTGTCTCAAAAGTTCCCTGTCTGTCTCTCCCTTTCTAAAGTTTTCATTAAAATCTGCCTTCCTCATAAGTTTTAGTGGAGTTCCAAGAAAGGACACAATTCGACCCTGTCTATGCCAAGCTGGCCTCTGCCTACTTGCCTCTGCCTCTACCTCTGCCTTTGCCTCGGCTTTTAGCTTTAGCCTTTGGCTCTGACTTCGCAGAAGCCAGTGCTGCCTCTGGCTGAGTCTCACTGGCGGCCTGGGCCTCTCTTTCTTTCTTCGCACAAAAACGCAGAGCCTTGGCTGGGTTGCAGTCCTTGCAGCCTGTCTTGGTTCCTCTGCACTTGGAGCACCCCCAGACATGCTCCACTGGCTCGCCTGGACCTGGAGCCGCTGGAGCAGGCAAAGGTGGCTCTGGCTCTGCTGCCTCCTGCTTCCTGGCACTGGGCTGATCGTGCGCTGCCTCTTGCTGCATCTTCTCAACAGCCTCGCTGGTCAGCAAAAACTTGACCCACCTGTTGAGCCTGTCTGCGACTTTCTCCGGGTCCGGTTTCGTGGCCTGTGCTGCCTCTCCTGACCACTGAGCCTCGGCAAGACCGGGCTGAGACAGCAAGGCAGCCTGGATGCAGCGGCGAGGCCTCGGCAAAAGAATGCCGAAGACACCAGGGGCCACGCTTGGCAAGACAGACAGGCATAGGCAGGTCTCTACCCAGACAGCTTTGTGGGCCCAGCTGCAGGAAGCGGCAGGCCACCAGCTGTCAATGGAAGACGTCTTGGACGACTTCGAAGAGCGGCTCCACAAGGCAGTGTCAGTCAGACAGACACAGGCCGACAAGGGACTAGCCAGCCCAGAAGAGCTAAAGGAGCTAGCAGCCTGGAAGCAAAAGCAGGACAGCTTAGCCAACAAGCCAAAGCAAAGGCCAAGTTCAAGATCAAGCTGATGTCTCGTTGCGGCTTGAGGCAGCGCAGCAGCCAGCAAGTGCAGCAGCCACCCCTCGAGAAGAGCGATGTGGAGGCTTGGCTCATGGACAGGAAGAACACCTGGATCACAATGTCAGATCAGGCGCCAGTCTGGTTGAAGCCAGCCGCAGGCAAAATGGCGACCAGCCTAGTTCGCCTCAGAGCCAGCAAGGAGCAGCAAAAGCGGAGGAGAGAGAGGAGAAAAGCGAGGCAGCAGGCCGCCATACCGCAGAGAGACTTGGGCCCGCGGAGTGCCCAGCGCAGCCCAGGACAGGCGCCAAGATGGCGAGTCAGCCTCGTATGCAGACAGCATGTGCGGGGATACTTTGACCCAGCCAAGCAGCCACAAGGAGGAGTGTCAGCAGCATACTGGTCGTGTATGGCTGCCACTGCCGACTCGAAAATATCTCCGAGACAGGGACATGGATCCAGACAGAGCGGTTCGTGGTGAACGACAGGGAGATAGTCAGAGAAGCAGGAGCCAGAGTGCCTGGCAGCGTGATGAAGAGGTGGAGGAAAGCCAGAAGAGACCACCCGCACTTGTTTGCCGACCAGGAGCCTGCAGGCAGTCAACCTTGTGGATATGTTCACCGGCACGTGGAGAGCCAGCTCCAGACAGGCCTCGATGCTCCTTCAACGAGCACAGGCGGCGGTGGCGTCAGGCATGACTGGCATGACGCAGGTGACCGACTGCGGCTTTGCCAGTCAAGCCAAGGCAGCTCTGGCTCGCCACCAGGAGGACCTCAAGCGCAGTCTCAGAGAGAAAGCAAGGCAGGGGCGTGCAGTGCCAGTACAAGGTCGGCGTGGTGGACATCTTGCGGGCAGCCAGATGCATGCACGCGCAGATGGTCAGTTAGAACGAGAAGGAGGGCACAGTCATGCGGTGCATGAGACAGGCAGGATGGTATAGACCAGATGACCAGGGACTCTTGCAGCCAGTGACAGAGGAAACGGAGCCATGGTGGCTTGAGGAAGGCAGTGACAAGCTCCCAGGCAGCTACCTGCAAGACAGAGGCAAGTGGGTGCAGGATGGAAGAGCGCTGCCTTTTGACGAGGAGGACTTGAAGTCAGACAAGGCAGGAGAAGCGCTGCGAGTCGAGACAGACTACCTGACCAGCTTGGTGACAGGACAAGCTGCAGGCCTGTGCTTCGAGTTTGCAGCCAAGCGCTCAGCTTTGGCAGACACGGAGAAGCAGTTCCAGGAGCTAGTGGAGCAAGCAACGCACCCCAGCCAGCGCAGACAGAAGTTCTTACGCCAGGCCGGCGAGGCGCAGAGCCAGATAGTCAGGCAGAGGCAGAAGAAGCACGGACGCGAGAACTTCAGACAGCGCGTCAAGAAGTGGAGGGAGGAGCAAGGCAACAAGTCAGCAGCCACGGCTTTGAAGCAGGTGGTGCCAAGCGTGGGCAAGAAGCAGACAGCCAAGAAGCTGGCGGCAAAGAAGAGCAAGGAGCAGAAGAAGAACAGCAAGACAAAAGCCAGCGCTAAGCAGAAAGCGAGCCTGAAAGACAAGCCGAGCGCTCACCGCAAGCAGCAAAGAAAGGCAGAGGAGAAGCAAGACAAAAGAGCTCTGGCAGGCGCAGCCGCCAAGCAGGCGGAGGAGACAGAAGCGGCGGAGGCAGGCATTGCCAGCCGACAGGCACGTGTGGTGGGTGAGAGAGCCCCTCAGTCTCTTCAGGGCGCTGTTGTGCTGTGCGTGACCCAGAAAGGAGAGGAAGTCCAGGTCAGACAGCAGGGGCAAACGTACTGGGTCAGAAAGTCAGACCTCTGCTTCGATGTGCGTCTCCCACGACATTCAGAGCGGCTGGACTACGGAGGCATGTCAGCCAGCGTAGCGACCGAAGCAAGGCGAGCTGTGCCAGATGTGGACTTTTACGACTGGGGTAGCCTCTTGACAGACAGCCAGGTCATTGCAGGAATGCAGGAGGTTGCAGCCAGACTTGGGCAGGTGCCGGATGTGACCGTCTTGACGCCAGCAGAGGTAGAAGTGGTCAGCCAGCAGCGCGCTTTACTAGAGGAGCTGGTGCTGGCCGCCCAGAAGCCAGGCAGGCGCATGATTTGCGCTTGCCTGCACACCACGGGTCCTCTCCACTACACTCTGCTGTGCGTGCAGAGAGAGGCAGACAGCCAGTGGCAGGCGCGGTACTATGACACCTTGCCCAGCCCAAGCCAGTCAGCCTACGAGAAGTCCAGGCAGCTGCTTAAGCTTGTTCTGGAGACAGCAAAAGCAGACAGCCAAGGTTTGCCGGCTCCCTGCAACTTCTACAAGCAGAAGGATGGGTTCTCTTGTGGGCTCTGGGTCCTGCTCTATCTGGAAAAAGAGCTCAGGCCTCATCTGCACAAAGTCTGCCAGCCTTTCCTGTGGCTAGACGACTTGCAAAACTATGGCTGACTTTGTAGTGCCGCCGCAGGGTGCTGCCTGTCCATCTTTTTTAGCTCCTGAACTAGGCTGAGCTTGCCGGCTGCGCTGACCTCTGCCCTCTTCTTCCTCAAGCCAGGGACTGTCCTCCAGCTAGTCTTGGCTCCTGGTGCCTCTCTTCCGCTTCTCTGGCGGGGCCACTGCTTTGTCCATCCCGTGCTTGGCAAGAGCAGCCCTGGCTGCCTCCTCTGCAGCCTGCTCCTCTCTTTGCCTGGCCTGGGCTTGCTTGCCTGTCTGGCGCGTCTTGCCAAGCAAGTAGTCCAGTCTGTAAAACACTGGCTTGCCTCTGCCCATGCTCCTGGGCTGGGCAAAAGCTCCTGAATCTACCCTCCCCCTGTCCTGGCTGTTCTCCAACATCTGGCGCAAGATGGCCATCTGGCTGGGGTCCAAGGACTGCACGAAGCTCTGCAAGGACTGCTCGGTGCGTCCATCCTGGCTACCAGTCTGGCTGCCTTGACCATCTCCAGCCATTGCTGCCGCCCAGATCAGCTGTCTGGTCTGAGTTTTCTGCCTAGCTGTCCGCTGCTGGCTGCCTTCCTATCACTGAGTGCATGTCTGGCTGTCTTGAAACCCACACTGCCTTCTCGAGCACTGGACTGTCTAGCAGTCAATCACAAGCTGGCTCCCTGACCTGCCTGGCTGCACCCCAAAGTGTTTTTTTGTCCCTCAAAAGCAAACATGTCCCCAGAAGCTGTCTAGCTGCGACTGTCTCTCTCCCGTACATGCTGGCTAATTCACCTGCCTGGCTGCAAACAAACAACCAGTAAACTGAAAAACAAATAGAATGATACATAAAATTTCCTTATTAAACCGCTTACTCGCGGACCTTACAATTCAATCCATTTCCTCCAAATGCTATGTGAACCCTCACATTGTTGGAAAAGCAAAAAAACCCAACCCCAAAAACCCAATTAATAAAAACTATATTTTTGTGAGGATTTATTTATAATAGGGGGGGGGGGCGTACTTATTAATAGGGGGAAGAGATTAGAACCCAAGACGCCCCCGAAAACCCCACCGTTTCAGGGGGCGCCATTTAGTTGTTTTCTTTTGGTTTGATTGCGGTTAAAGCCTATAGTAAAGCTTCGGAACATCTTGGTAGAACTAAAAGTCAACCGATTTCGGGCGTTGCTCCAGGGATGATCTTGAATTTTGCCGAAAGAATGCTGATTAAGACCCTAACAAGTGGGAGGTGTGTTGATTGGATCCTGGAAACCAGTAAGGGGCGAGGTATCAAGTTCATTTGGCTGCTAGATAGCCCACCATGTGTAATTTTCCCAAAAGGCACCCGCAAGTAGATGGCGATATATTGTAATGTTGTTTTTCCACCCTCTTTGGCTACGAAATTTCATTTGGAACCACCTCCAAAGTTGGCGGACCCCGTATTTTCCACCCAAATGTCCAAGCAGCAGCCCAATCAAAAACGTCACACCGAGTTAGCTCCCAGTTCTACACCGCGTTTTTTTTTGGCCGGGGCGAACTCGTTTCGGGGCCGGCGGACGCTGGATCGATTCGAGTGTCTCAGGCCCCACCGGGCGCAGATTCGGGCGCTGGCCAGGTGAGCAGGGCTTCTCTGGGTTTTCCTCTTTGTTTCCAAAGATAACTTTGGTGCATTTTGCCAAGGGATGTTGTTGGGAAACAAAATATACATTGTTGTTTCTTGTGGTTTAGTGGTGGAAATCCAACCACTGAACTGCTAAATTTTACATGTTTGCTCCTGTTCCAACGTCAACCAAGTTTGCTTGGATGTTAGGACGTTAACTTTTTGCCAACCAATGGGTTTTCCATTAAACCACTAAAAGTTAAACTTTTAGCAGAGGAGCAGAAAACAACCGAGATAAGCCAGAGTCAAATCCACCAAATCGGGTGTTCGGCTTACTTGGGGTTCTCGGGGTAATGTTGACCCCCAGACAAAGAAAAAAAACAACCCCAGCTTGTGAATAGGGGGGTGCCGACTAAAATGGGGGGGATCATCAATGGGCTGACTAATCTGAGGACAACATTTTTGGGGGGGCGAACATGCTGCCGTATAAACAAGCCCGATCACTCAGAGATGCCTTTCTATCAGTGGCCTGATTCTTTCGGGGAATCAGACGTCAGTGTCCCTCGCGAACAGTGCGAAGTTGAAGACCGTTCCTGCCGTCCCCCTTTCAACGCCACAACAAACTGCACTCAGTCCTACAAACAGCCATGGACCATTGCACTTTGGTCAGAGTTGTTGTTGGCTCCAGGTTTTCGCGTATTCGGGTGCCCAAGCTTTGGCTAGCCAACAGATAGGTCCACTGGCCTTTAAAGAAGGATATGGGATACTCCCAACCCAAACCTTCTGGTGATCGATCGTCCCAACCCAAGCCTAAGGCACATTCTCACGACTGGGAAGCAAGCATTTCCGTGCCGCGGAGGTCCCTCGCGGGAGTTCAACCGTTTTCGTTTGGCGGTGGAATTCCGGTTGTCTAGGGGTACCTCCCCCATTCTTCCCAGGGATCTTTTTTTTAGAAATACTCCAGAAACTGTGGGAGAACAGCTGGTTGTCGAAAAGAACGATGGTGGAAAAGAATGGGGAAACCAACCCCTAGAAGTTTACTACTGTGGATGGAGGAAATCCTGCACCGCGCAGATCTAGGAGCTCAATGGCTGACCAGCTGCTTTGTTTTGCCTCGGGAGAGAAATGTCGGGTTTTGGAATTTGTTTGCGGTGTGATCCCATGTGGCTCTTGCAGAATCTGGATCCCAAGGTAAACTGAAATCCGGGGGGTATCAAACAGATAATTTCCCCTTTACCAACAACAGCCGCAAAAAATCCCGTGCAACCACAACCACTGTCCAATTTGACAGAAGGTGTGAGATGGACACAAGCAGTCGGGGAAGACGTCCCTATATGTCCCCTGTTGGTTGGTTTAAGCTCTAGGTCCCCCAGAAGTGCCCTTTTGCGGTTTCGTTTTTGGTTGGGAAGGTTCCCCCACTAAAATAGACTACAGAAACTACAGAAAAAAGGTTGGCACCAACTTAGTCTAACCTCTCAAATCTGGAGGACCTAGAACATCACGGGCTTGTGAAACTCACTTCCTGAGTTGAACTTTAAACTTTTTGAAAAGATAATCCCACTTTCACTCAAGACTCGTGCCTGCGCAATGTTCCTTTGGCTGAATAAAATCCCTTTGGCTTAGGGAACACGGAGCGCTTTTGCTTTCAGAGGGTCCAACTCCATGCTTTGATTGAGTCGGAAGGTTTCGGAGGAGGTGAAGGAGATCAAGGAAGAGAAGGAGGAGAAGACTTCGGAGCTCCGGCGCCCAGTCAGAAGTCTCCATTTTTGTTAGCCTCAGAAAGGCAGGCGGACCATGACACCTTTGGTTTTTGGTTGCCCCTGTCTTTTTTTCAGAGGTCCCAAAAGTCTTCCTGAAGTTGTAATCGGTGGTTTGGAGCCGAAATGATTTTTTGGTGATGTTCCATTTACCCTCTGAAACAACCGTTCAGGGATAGCTGAAAAAGGTGATCACCTTTTTGGCCAGCTTCACTGGTCGGTAGGTGGTTCTACCTGGTAGGATAACCGTTGCAAGTGTCGAGCCAACAGTCCATGGGTGTTGAGCGCGACTTTCCGAGATGGACGGGAGCCACAAGGAATCAACATCCCCGCCCCTTGTAAATGGAATTGTGGGAAAGGGGTGACCTCTGGAGATCTCCATTTATGGTGAGCCATTTTCTCCTTTGGGGAAGACTGCGACCCCCCACCCCTCCCCCTTAAGGTAGGGGGATGAATCAACCCATATTTCTCGGTCCCCTCAATTCTGAGAACCGCACATTGAAAACCAAGATCCTCAATTTAGGGACGGGGCTATTGGCGTAGTCTCCGGAATCCTAAGTTGCTCATCCCTCCAAAATCATCGCTAGCTTCAGCTTTTGTTGGTTGTTCTAGGGAATCGATCACTTACTGGAAATAAATCTCTGATTTGTTCCCTTGGTTAAATGGAAGCTACCGGGTGCTAAACAACAAAAAACCACATTTCTTGGAATTAGTTTATACAAGATCTCTTCAACAAAGAAGCAAGACGCAAGAACACAAATATAAAGATGTTTTTTATAACTCACTCTCAGCATTGTCAGTGTCCGAACCCCTTTTGAGGGACACCAAAAGGGGATGGATACAGTTGTTGCAGATATTATGCAGCAGGTGAATGTGTCATCCTAACTGCACGAGGGGGTTGTCTCATTTGGCAAGTGATCGTTACCCGCCAACTTCACTTTGCGGTTGTTTCTTGCGTGCAGAATCTTGGGCTTCCTTTGGAGGGCCTGACTGGCTTCCTCCTTTTGTTTCCCTTTTTCGGATTTGCTGGCGGGCCTCCTGGCCAATGGGCCAAGTATCAGCAGCTGGGGTCATCAACAGGTCCTTTACCTTGGGTGATTAAGGAAACCACTCAAGAGATTATGCTACCCACTAATTTTGACAAAAATAACCCACGGTCATATGGAGCCTGGAATATTGGTCAATCTCCATATCGCAGTTCTAGGTTTACAGTGATGAATCCTAGACCTCCATTGCTGCCCTTTCTCTTCTTTTTTTTTTGTTTCGAGCATTTCCCCTTTTCAGCCTTTTCAATCAAGCACCAACAACCGGGGCGCCTGTTTTCTTGGTGGCTCCCATCCATCCCCTTAGCTTTTTAGCCCTTTTTAGCGTTTAGTGCAACCACTAAAAGTTTCCTTTTTTTCCGCGGATCCGAACACGGGCCCAGTTTTGGTCGTTGGACACCTTGAGGCCGGAGGCGCAGCCTCCGAGTGCCTCGGAGGCGAGTGGCGGCCTGGCACCCCCTTGATCTGCGAGTTATTCCTTGGCCGGTGGCAAGTTAATCTTGTTTCCTATGAGCAGGGCTCCTTAAAAGATCTCCATGTTGCAACCAATGGAAACGTGACTCGCTTTTTCCACCCAAATAAAGGGACGCCTCCATTTACAAGGCAATGTTCAAGTGTATAATGTAAGGATCCCTGTATTAGGTTGGATCCTTAGACCCTTTTCCAGGAATTGCTAAGAGGTGCAATGGTGGGAGGAAGGATACTTGGGTCAAGCTAGTTAGTAAACAGACTCTGGCCACTAGGTCCCCCAGCTAGGTGCCCTTTTACCAACTTTTTTGGGGGGAGGGTTCCCCTAAGAAAAGGCTTCCCCTTATTCCAACCTGTCTACTCCTTAGACTTTACCTTTGGGGAAAGCAAGGGCTTTCCATTGAACCCACTAGAATTTAAACTTCTTGTGGAATCTGCTAAACTCTCCGTACTTTTCCACCATGTTTTTGTTTCGCATATGTTTTCGGCTCCTCGGTTCCAGGCAATCAATCCTCGGCCTGCGAGAGAGCACTTCTGGTGTTCCCACGGACATGGGATCGGAATTATTCCAACTTGAGCGCAAAGAAAACTTGCAATGTTGTCCATGTTGACCCAGGATCAATAAACCCGTACTAGGGGGGTATTCCCTCCAAAAGTGGTCTGAATCCCCACTAAAAGGGGACACCCCCCTATTAATCAACCAGGGGTTTATTCATCCGAGGTTAACATGATCCAATCCATTTTGAACATCTAGAGGTTTGTCAAGACACCGGGAAGGGCTGGTGGTTTTTGTGAAAAGAACGGGTACTCAACCATAAATGGCTACTTGGTTCAACAGCGGGAGTTCTCCAAGCCGCAGAGTTTGTGCCTCCGTGTCTCCGTCTGGTTATGTGTGACCCCAGATTAATGAGCCCATGCTTACTATATGGGGGTATCCACTCCAAAAGGGGTCTGACTCCCCACTAAGACCAGAGACACCACCAATCAAGCAACAGGGGTTCATGCATCTGGGGTATGTGTTTGTGTTTGGAGCAGGGAAAACGATCTTTTGCGTTGGTAGGGGGACCTTGGCTTGGGCTAGCAGTTGGTTTGGGGCGCACGTTTCGGTTTCATGTTGGCCCTTGCTTTGCAGGGTTCAATCGGAGCTTCGCAGGCGAGGTTCCTCGAGAAGTGAAGCATACTGTAAAATGGACGAAATCCTGCACACCTAAGAAACCCTGGAATGATGATTGCCCGGTAGATGCCAACAAACGTTATGGTTTCCCATAGTTTCAAAGTGGTGCGAACGGATTCCATCCACCCAGCGTATGGTCAAAACATGGGGGTTGGCGGCATGGCCTCGAGCAAACAAATCGACATGAGCCACAATCAAACCGATTCGGGTAGATGAAGGTTAGTAAGTTAAGGGCCAATCCTAGCCATAAATCGCTGCGGCCTTCTTAATCCTGTACATGGTTCTGGGATTCCGACCATTTTAATACCAGGTTTGGTCGACCATTTTAATACAAAGGGTTTTGAGCAAGTGACTCACATGTCAGGGCTTCGACAGGCAACTGGCGGCTCAAAAATCGGTTTCTCACTGCGGGCTGATGGAGAAGATGAGGCGGGCCAGGGCTGACGTTCAATCACAAAGAAGTCGCCATATGGTCGGTAAAAACAGCCCTTTCTGGTGAAACCATGAAAAAGGGGGCGGAATTCTCATTCAGCCATGACTTCTAGTTTTTCCAGTAGCCCTTTTACCGTTTCTTTTTTGGGGGAGGGTTCCCCTAAAATAGACAAACCAGAAAAACAGGTTTGTGCCCTTCTTCTAACCGCTGGAGGACCTCGAAATTTCTGCATATCCTCGGGTTTTCGTGCATAACTTCTAGGTATTCTTGGAAGTCGGAATGAGTTTGACCTTGGATGCTTGTTGGTCTGACTGAAAGAAAATAGTAGCTAGTTGAAAGCTGGCAGACCTGTCTAACCACTTATCCAGTTGTGGTTGGGTTTCAGGCAGGTTCAGTATGCGCAGAAAGGTGTTTAGAAGTCACGACAGTTATGCGTGTAGATGACAAGAGCCCATGTGTTAGAACCCACATAGGGGATGTCCAAAAAGAAGGAGACCCTAGAAATATTTGAGCTGCTGGCAATATTACCACCAGCAAGCGATAGGGGACTACCATAATGCACAACTGGAACGACATGGACTATCCGTGGCTGTGTAAGAACCGATCTTGGGTATGAATCAAAATAGAGGGACCCCAAACTGTTGTTCGTTCTTTGGTTTCCATTTTTGACGACTCCAAAAGGGTTCCCTGAAAGAAGTCGCTATATGGTTGGTGAAAATTCCTTTTGGATAAAACATGAATCTTGGGGGCTGCTGGGGAGGGAGGGGAGGGGGCGGGAGCCCAGATAAGCCCTAAATAAGGCCTTATTAAGCGCTTAGTAAGGGCTTTTTTGGGATCCCTCCCCCTCCCCCGCCCTCCCGCCCCAGCCCCCATAAATGAAAAAGGGGGGGAACTCTCATCCAAACATGACTTAGACCAACCCTTTGCTTTCTGGTTGGTGTCCCATCCTTTCGGGCAATCTCCCGACGAGGTTGGATGCAACAAATTGCCCATGCCAAAGCCTCACTCCCGTTCCTGGACTCCGGTCAGGTTTTCGGAAGACCGTTTCTCACTTCCTGAGTTCATGAACTATAAACTTTTTGGAAAGCCAATTTTAGTGGCAAATACAAAGTTTGGACTTTTTTTGGACCATCCACTCAGCAAGTGAGGTTTTGGTGAAGAACAAAGAGGTGCCAAATTACTTTGGCAAGCCGGAAGTGAGAAACGGGATGCCTATGCTACAATGTTTGCAGACCCCCTGTTGAATGTTAACCTCGGATGAATAAACCCTCCCCTCCCACCCCCTATTAGGTGAAATTGGTTAAACGGTTTCGGAAAAAAAGAGGTCTTTTGCGCGAGAAGGTAGTTGCCGGCGACCGCTCTAGACGGAAATTGAATGCACTCTGAATTGGGCTGGAATGGAAGTCTTGTTTTTTTGCTGGAACATTGTTCCGACGAACGCGTACTGATTTGGCCGGAGTCAGAATTTAGAACTGTTTAATTTGGATCCCGAAAATGCGCCTTAGCAATCGGTGGTATTGATAAATCATTCTTAACATTAGCACCCAGCTAGAAGTTGTGCTTTGAACATTTGAAAGGTTTTCACCCACCTTCACTTCAGCTTGTCTCCCAAATGTTGTGTTTTCCCTGCTGCAAGCCGGGAACAAATTGTTTGCTACCTTCAAACTGAAACTAGGACTCAAATGTTGGGTCTGTTTGCTTTTTGTGGCGACCCGTTTCGGGGTGGGTTTAAAGGGGAACCATAATAGACTACAAGTTTCCCTCAAAGTAAGACAAACCTGTTTTGCTGCTCTATCATCGTGGTTTTGGGCAAATATGCCTAGAAGATCCTTCCGGCATAATTTTCCGCCCATTTTGAGAAAGGGCGCCTTTTTCCTCCTGACGGCGTTTTAGGCTTGGCGCCTGCGTTTTTTGCCTGTTCGCGATGCCTCTACTCTGTGCACGCTGCCGAGCACTGCTTTCGCTTTGATCTATGGTGTTCCCAGCCGTTGACTTCCATCTCTTTCTTTCTGATCAACCCGAATGCCTGGTGATGTGATGGGCCTTCATACGCCGGATGCTCTTGGCAACGCGTTCTTGTCCCATGTTCGGAGCTTTTGGGGCCCGAGCGCGGGCGGAATTTTGTGGGATGCGCGGAATTCCCCGGGAAACGGGCGGAATTCCCCAGGAAGCCTAGCCCATCCCCGTTTGACCAGCCTTTGAGAGACCATCCTTTCCGTTGCATGGCTGACTATAAGCCTGCCAAGCGCACCGAGACTTGCCGAGCGGGCAAGGGCAACAATCGTTCCAGACTCTACACCTTGCCACAGCCTTTGCTGGCAAGAAGGGGGTGGCGTCGCCCTTTGAAGTGCGCGTCAGGTAGATAATTCCCAACACATTGGCCGCAACCATTGAGGGCTGAGTGCATCGTGGGCATCTATCTGTAGCGCTGCGACGGCGTTTCCCTTGGCTGGGGCGTTTTTCCCCCACCCCCGGCGTTTGTGTCCTCAAACAAAGGCGGACATTTCTGTTGAGGAAACGGGCGAAAATGTCCGGCGGAGTTTCCAGAATCCAAACCCGGGACCTTCTCCAAGGACTCAGGTCACCCAGGGACCCTTAATTGGTTTGGATTGGTGGCTTGGGGGTTTGAACCCCTGGTTCTTCTGGGAACCCTTTCCTTATCCACCAAACCACCAAGTAGAGGATTCTGATAGACTGAATATGACGCAGCATCTGAAAGCCTGTTTTCTGGTCTCCGGTTACCCCAAGCATTGTCTCAAGCTCAAGGACCGCGAACGCCTGAAATGGCTTTGTCCCCAAGGGGGGGGGGGCTGACCCACAAAGAACGTGGTTTCCCAAGTCTGCGGAAAAAAGTACATCCGATACCCGCTGATTTAGATGACCCCCAACAGAACTTTGGGACAAATAGATGGGTTTCCCGGTTTCTGAGGCATAAACCAAGCCCATCTAAACCAGTGGAAACCATCTATTTCTATCCAAAGGAACCAATCAAAAGGACACCTTTGTGATCCGCCCCTTAGAGAGACAGCGTTTGGATACGGCGAGGAAACAACAACGGAACGCCCCCGTTACCCGGGTCGTGTCTACCCTGAACAAGCCAGCGAATGCGTGGCGAATTTCAAGACATGGCTCAAAATAGGGAGTCAAGCAAAGAAAGCCACTTCTTTAACAGTTCACTCTTGGGCTGCAGATCCTCTGTTACCTCGGCGCGCTTGCGCGCCCGCGCGCCCCACCGTGCAGGTCAAGCGCCCTGGCTGCCTTGAACTTGGAGCCCCCGAAGCCCCAAGCGTTGAGGCGAGGGAGAGAGGGACAGGAACCCATTTCCCAGGCACGCACGCACGCACGCGCGCGCCCACGCCCAC